ACTCCCAGGGGTAGTAGAAGGGAAGGTACATATAAGAGGAGCAGGCTGGGAGAGGGAGTGTCTGTAAAGGATGTGTTCTTGCATGTGAAGGCCCATGTATCTGTCACAGGGTCTGAAACCTGCCTGAGGACACCTGCCCCACCATGCATTTAATCTTCACGTATAAACCCAAATATGCCCAAGGTGGCCTTGGACATATTTGGGTTTAGAGGTGTGTTCAGGCCTCATGTGGTGCTTGGTGACACGAGGTTCTCAGGGCCTCGAAATCCAGTCCTGCCACTTACTGGCAATGGGACCTGGACCAAATTGCCTGATCCACTTAGCATTCTACAGCCTCAGTTTCCCCCACTGGATATAGGGATGGTGAGAGCCCTTCCTGTTCCACAAGGTGAAGGTCACCTGATTGGTGGTGAGTGCTTGAAAGAATTAGGCTTTATTGTTGCTGTCTCCATCTGTGCGGGAAGTGAGGACATGGCCAGCAGGGCTGGTGTCGTCTATGCGTCTGGTGTATGAGCTGCATGCCTCAGTGCCTCCCTGTGTGTGCAGTGCCCCAGCTTCCTAGCCAGCATGGGTTAGGTGGCCTTAGCTCTGGAGGCGTGGGAGATACAGGTTCAGGCCCCAGGTGGGCATGTCTCCTTAGTCCATGGCCCAGCCGAAACCCAGGGGTCTGCACCGTTTTGACAGGCCCGTTAGGTCAGGGACCCCCTGCCTGTGGCCGACGTGGTGCCGTGGGTGGCAGCTGGATCAGGACCTGCTCAGGATTACCCGTCGTGTCCACCACGCATAGGTGTGGGAGTCCCAGGAAGGCCTCGGGCGCAATGCTGGTCATGTGAAGCCTGTTGGCCCTGGACCAAGAGGCGGGCATGAGGGCAGATGCAAGGGTAGGGGCCACAACCATCCTGACCCCCCTGGCCCAACTGGGGTCCCCCACAGCCCGCCATGGCTTTCCCTTGCCCATCAGGACCCGCCCACCTGCCCTGAGGGCACCTGAGGAAGAGGGCACGCAAGCTGGGTGTGCTGAGGAAGGCTTCGGGGCCCACATGGCTGATGCGGTTGTTCTGCAGGTACAGCTCCTCAAGGGCCTCAGGCAGGTCAGGAGGCACGAAGGACAGCTCGTTGTGGCTAAGGTCCAGCACCTGGGCAGGTGGGCAGAGATGGCCCCATGGTGGCTCTAGGCCCTAGGTCAACTGCTCAGCTAAGCCCCAAGCCACTTTCCTCCCGAACCCTCCTCCCCTCCATGTCTAGCCCAGTCCTGCCCCTTCCCCTGGACCCTCTTCGAGGCTGCTGAAATCCTCCCCTCAACAGAGATAAACAGTTCTTTCTGGGGCACACCCTGCTATAGGTGCTAGGGGCACAGACAAGTTCCCACCTGCTGTGGGAGACATTGGTTCAATTAGTCACTCACGTAGATGGCACTTAATCCATGTCCTCATGCCCTTCTAATGCTCTATCATTTACTTAGGATTTTTATTGATTGCTTTCTCCCTAACCAGGGCATTTATGCCAGGGCAGGAGCTGTGTCACCGTGGCCAGCCCAGAACAATGCCTGACACCCACAGATGCTTTAAACTCTGGAATCTATAATGGTCAGGAGCTAGAGGCCACAGTTTACTAGGGAGGTGGAGGGGGGTGTCTCAGAGGACCAGGCGGCAGGGACAGCACAGCCAAAGGCCTGGAGGCTGGATCTATCTTATCTACCCCAGGGCTATCCCCCTATGGGGGGCTCTTTTTGTGATATCATCGAAGGGCCATAGGGACAGCCTGGGGACAGTCAGTGTGGCTAACCAGCCGACCTCTGACCTGGAGGGCCTTTAGCTCATGCCAGGTGCCGGGCTCGATGTCACCCACTCGGATTTGGTTATATGCCAGGCTGAGCTCTCGCAGCTGGTCCAGGCCAGCCAGTGGCTCGGGGTCTAGGGCCCGCAGCTGGTTGCGCTGCAGCTGCAGGGTGTGCAGGCCAGTGGGCAGACCGGTGGGCACCCGAGTCAGTTGGTTGCCAGCCAGATCAAGGTTGAGTAGAGCACGCAGTGGACGGAAGGCCTGGTGGTGCACACGGGCACTGACCAGGTTGTTGTAGGCCAGGTTGAGCTCGGCCAGGCGTGGAGTGGCAGCCAGGTCACCGGCCCCTAGTGCAGCCACACGGTTGTGGGGCAGCACCAGGGACCGAAGGCGACGTGGCAGTGCCAGGGGCACGCGCTCCAGCCTATTACCATAAACATGCAGCGTGTGCAGGCCCCGCAGAGGCCGCAGCACCCCTGCGGGCAGCCCCGCTGCCCCCAGTTGGTTGTTCTGAAGCAGCAGGTAGCGAAGTCCCCGTGCCCCACGAAGCCTGGCTGCCTCCACCTGCTGGATGCGGTTCCGGCCAAGGTGCAGCACAGCCAGGGTGCGGGGCAGGCCAGCAGGCACCGTGGCCAGCTGATTGTGGGACAGGTCTAGGTACTCGAGGCGGTGTAGTTTGCTGGTGGGAGAGAGGGGTGGCATCATTCTGGGCACCCAGCGTTAGGGACCAGGTGGATATTGAGTGGGGGGGCAGGAGGGCTGATGAGTGGTACTGAGAGATGTAAGCTGGAAATTCCAACGTTGGGGTGGTGAGTTGGGAGATCTGGGTGGGAGGTAAACTTGGGGTGATCAAGGCAGGTTCTGGCCTGAGGATTAGATGCAGGGAGGATGAGAACAGAGTTCTGGGTCCAGATCTGCACAGCTGTGATGTTGGGTAACAAGGGGCTGGGCTGAGCCTGGTGCACAGTAGGTGCTTACCATGGGGTAGGAGTGATACAGAGGAGGGGGACAGAGGGTGGCAGCCTCTATTGCCACCATGAGATTATACCCCATCCCATCTTGTCCCAAGCCCCACCTGAAGGTGGTGGCATCCAGGCCACTGTCTGTCAGCTGGTTGTGTTGGAGGTAGAGCTCACGGAGGTGGATCTGGCGGCTCAGGGCTCCTCGGGGTACCTTGGAGATGAGGTTGTTCTGGGAAGGAAGGAGAGAATGAAACCCAGGGTCCAGAATAGAAGGCAGTGGAGAGCCACAGAAGGCTCTTGAGTAAGGGAGTGATAGATGAGGAGCTGACTTTAGCAAGGCTGCTCAGAGAGCACTTGTGACTGACTTGTGCCGGTGGTAGAGACTCAGAGAAAGATATTTGTGACCACTGGAATTTTTAGGAGGCAGAGGGGTCTTCCAGGAGAGAGGTGAAGAGGGTTGGTGGGGGACAGGCGGAAAAGGTGAAGGAGGGGCACCTGCAGGTGGAGCTGCTCCAGAGAGGGTGGCAGGCTTGGCGGCAGGTAGCTGAGCTGGTTGTTGGAGAGGCTGAGGGTGGTGAGGGCCTCAGAACAGTGGAAGGCATCGGGGGGCAGGCCGGCATTGCTCAGCTGGTTGTTGTGGAGGTACACGGACCTGAGGGGAGCCAGGCTCCGGCCACCAGCCTGCCCCTGGCTCCCTACCACTCCCCTTCTGCACCCCAGCTCAGGGCTACTTTTAGTGTGTGTGTGCATGTGTGTGTGAATGGAGTTCTCCAGACAGCATCCAGGGTCCTGTCTCCCCCAAACCTCCCAGGGCAGGCTCATGACCTCCTTCAGATCCCCAGGGTGAGGAGTGACATAGGGATGCCTGAGGCCTGGAGGGCCTGCATTACGCCAGGGGCTACCTGAGCGCCGGCTTCTCCCCAAAGGTGAGTGGGAAGATCTCCGTCACTTGGTTGGCAGCCAGATCCGCTACTCGGAGGGAACGAGGCAGAAACTGGGGGGCCACCGAGAGCTGTGGGAGCACAGTGTGCAGATCCTGGCGGCACCTTCCAGCCCCCTGCTGTCCCCTCTGCACTCTGCTGTGTGACCTGGCTGGGCTGGGGTGGGGGTTTGGGTGAGGGGCTCACCTTGTTGTGGGCCAAGTAGATGTGCTGCAGCTGGGTGAGGGACTCAAAGGCCTCGTCCGGCAGGCCTGGGAGCGGAGCGGGTATTGAGGGGACCCAGGCCTGGTAGGGGGCAGGGGGAGTCTGTGCTCCCAGCTGCCCCAGGGCTCCTGGCCTGGGACTGGCAGAGGCTCCTGGCCTGGGACTAGCAGAGGCTCTTCCAGGCATCCCAGTCCACAAAAGCCACAGGGCCCCCCCTCCCCATCCCCTGAGTTTCCATCCTGCTCAGCAAAGGGCAGTTCTGGGAACTGCCACAGAGCTTCTCCCTCCCCCATGCTGGGTCTGTGGGCAGCCCTGCAGCAAGCCAGGAAGGGGCAGCCCCCTTGTTCCCCCTCACCCTCAGAGGAGATGAGATTGTTGTGCAGATTGAGAGTTTGAAGACCACTGAGGCGTGACAGCTCATTGTAAGGGAGCTCCTGGAGTTGGTTGTTCTGGGGGGGGAAGCATTCACACCCCTGACCCAGATGACCCTGAGCCCTCAACCAGAGCCCCAGCCCTGATTCTCAGCTTCTCATCAGCCTAAGCAAGAGAGCCCCACCACCCCATTACCCCCATAGTTGATCCCAAATGCTTCATCACCCCTTAACCAAAAGGACATTGATCCCAATGCCCCATCCTCCCCTATAGTTGACTTCTGACACCCATCACCTTCACCCCAGACAACCTCATCTATACTGCCAAGATTTTGACCCCCTGAGACCCCAAACTCTCAGCCCCTCCCACATCCAATATCTATACCCCACCTCCAAAACTCATCAAGGTCAATTTCCATCAATTTCAAGGCCCACACGCCCAATGCTCACCCCTGTATGTGGACCCCACACCTATCACTCAATTCCAGCACTTCCCAAGCTCATCCCACTTCACCCCACCCTGCAACGTCCCGGTCCCCCGCCCTCACCTGCAGGGAGAGGTGCTGAACCTCCCTGGTGATGTTGTGAGGGAACACCCGCAGGTCCAGGCCATCGCAGTCCACTGTGTCAGCCCGGGGGCAGGAGCAGCGCAGGGGGCAGGCCCTGGGCAGGGGCTGCGAGCTCTCCCCCAAGTGGGGGAAAGCTGTGTCCTCCATGCCAGGGGTGGTTGGGGGGCCTGGAAGCAGCAGCAGGAGCAGCAGCAGCAGGCTTAGCCGCTGGGAGTGGAGGGACAGGTCAGGGTGTTGCCAGGTTGGGCATCTTGTCACCATGGCAACAAGAGCATTCCACAGGGGGTGTGGGGGCAGGCAGGCCCCACCCTCACACCTTACCCCACCCCACCTCACCATAGCCAGCCCCAGTTCAGCTCTCTTGCCTGAACTGCCGACCAGGGCTTCCTAATGGAAACCAGGCGGTCACCTCCTGGAGCCTCTGCCGTGGCTGCCACCACCCCCCATTTCTTGGCACAGGCCACCCTCCCTGCAGCCTATTCCCCCAGTGGCTCGAGAGAGCTGGCCCACCCCCTTGCCTGACTTGGTGAGGGTGGGTGCGCTGCTGTATGGGGTGGTAAGGAAAGGCCAGCCTGTCCCCTTGGTTCCCCACCCCCAACCCCCCCAGCTCTGCTTGCGTAACCTCAGCCAGCTTGGGCCGGGCTACAGGAGCAAGGAATGTTTGGGGGAAAGCTAAGATTCACCCTGTCTGGTATTTGGGCCGACCACAGGAATAGGGGTGGAGGCAGAGGAGTGGGGGTGATGCAGACCACAGAAGGGGTCCCCAAGGAACTAAGGCTGGTGGGGAGGGGTCAGGGCAGGCCTGGGCTCAGCCTGCCAGCCCAGACACCAACCTGGAGGCTCTCAGCCAGGTCTGCTATCTGTGCCCCTCCTATCCCACCACCAGCTGTCCTCACTGGCAGCCACACTGCCCCTCACCCTAAATGTCCACAGCCATCACTGTCTGAAAGGAAATTACACGTATGGAGGCACCAGCCTGGCAGTAAAGGATGTTCATTGAGTGCCAGCCTGCCTGGGCTTCAACCTGGGAACAGCCACTTCTCTGGGCCTTGGTTTCCCACTCTGCAAAGTGGGGTGCCACTGGGTGAGGAAATCAGTCTCTACCCCTAGTCTTGTGGTAGGCAGATAAACAGACATAAGCCAGGTACAGAAGTCACCAGGGCAGAAAATGCCCAAGTGCCAGGCAACAGGCAAAACTGGGAAAGCAAGGACCTCCCCCCAGGGTCACCTTTCTTCCCCTAGCATGTTGCTGGTCATGCAGTTTAGACCCCCTGACCTTTCATATGGCTAGTCATGGGACATGGACCTTCCCTTGATCTTTCCTCCCCTGGCATGTCGCTAGTCACGTGATAGACCCCTTTGGAGGAGGAACAAGGCATCGAAGAGTGGCCTCATGCGACTCACATCTATGCGGGCCCTTGCACAACCACTCCCTTAAGCATTAACCCCTAGGGATAACATCTAGACCTCAGTTGTGTCTCAGTTCCAGGCCTAGAAAAGCATTAAGGCCAGGTGGGATGATAGCATGGCTGACATCTGGACCAGCTGCGATGAGTAATGACTCCCTGCCCCGACACCTACCAAACCGTAGAGAACAGGACCCTGAAAGGACACACCTACAAAAGCTGATGGATATTCTATTGAGATCTTCCCCTGGGACCTCCCCTAAGATCCCTGCCTTTAGAGCAGGGAGAAAATCCTTCAGGATAGAGGACCCAGCGTGCCTCTCTCTCTCCAGCACTCTCCATCACACCTGCACCTTTTCCCACCCCTTTTTCCCTCCAGGGTGGCTCTTTTTCTGTGGAACATGCCCATAGTTTTCCTCCTCTCCTTACCCCTTACCTCCTCTCCTTATCCTTGCTCTATTTCTCCTAAGTTCCAAGGGCCTTTCTTTTACCTCTATAACTTGTTTTGTAAGCCCATGAAGCCCAGCTGGCTCACTTCTTTCGTGGCTCACTTCTACCTCTGTCACTTTCTAAATAAACTTTTCCTTGTATTTGAGTCTTGACTCTGCATGCTTTCTTAGCCAGAACTCAAGTACTGAGATTGCTGAACCAAGGTCCAATTGCTGGTAACATTCTGGTGCCATTTCACCACAGTCTAATTCCTGAGACATGCCACTTACCAGTGGGATGAATTCAGAACAAGTCGTTCTCCTGTCCCAACCTCAGCTTTCCCACACATAAAATAAGGGTGACAGAAGCCCCTTCCTCAAAGAGTTGTCACAAGGCAAAACCAGTAACAGAATGTTCTAAGACCACATCTGACCCTCGCAAGCACTCAGTGGCTAAGGTGATGGGCTGCATGAAAGGCATGAAGGAGGTAGGGATCCTCTGGAAGCAGAGCTTGAGACAAGGATTGAATGTGCTTGTCTCAGAGAAAGCAGCTGTAGGAAAGTGGGGAGGTGACGGAAGGAAGGGAGCAGTCAATAATCAATGAGTTATCACTAGGGTTATCAACTTGCCTGGATCTTGCCAGTCTTAGCACACAAAATACGGCTTCCTAGAAAACCTTTAGTCCTGGGCTAACTGGGGTGATTGGTTGCTCTTGTTATCAAGCAAATTCCTGCCATAGGCAACTGGGGCTCAGTCCCACTGAGGAACACTAGGAGATTGTGTAGCACACACACCTCAGAGTCATCCACCTGAGGGGCAAGGGAGCTGTGATATTGATCCTGTATTTTCCTCCATTGATCACTGATTAACAGCTGCCTCCAAAGGGGTGAATTCCCCTGCACTTTGGGTAGACCAGGCTCTAATCCTAAAGAGATATAGGTGCCTGATGGTGAGCCCTGAGGGGGCATAGAAGGTCCCAGATAACACCTGCTATAGCAGACTACAGGGTCCAGCCATGAGGAGTTGGCAATGAGGTACATCAGGTAGGCAGTAAGAAGGGAGCAAGATATGGGAGGATGGTAGAGAGAGGGTATCTGTATTATTTTTTAATTATTTTTTAAAATCCTCACCTGAGGATATTTTTTCCATTGCTTTTCAGAGAGAGTGGGAGAGAGAGAGAAAAAAACATCTATGTGAGAGACACACATCAATTGGTTGTCTCCTGCATGTGCCCTGACCAGGGCTGGGGATCAAGCCTGCAACCGAGGTACATGCCCTTGGCCTGAACCAAACCCGGTACCCTTCAGTGCACAGGCCGACACTTGAACCACTGAGCCGAACCAGCTAGGGCAGGGTATCTGTATTATTAATCTCCTTTCCACAGAGAAGGAAACCTAGATGAAGGAAACAAAGAGGTAGTCATTTGCCCACATTTCCCAGGACTGTAGCCTTGTGAGGGAGGACCCCTCAGGGCTGGGGCAGGACACAGGTGTTAGCCTTGGCCAGAACAAGCCCCACCCCAAGTCCTCCATGTGGGACTGACAGCCACTAATTTGGACATTGTGTGGCAGAGCAATATGGCTTGTCCCAGCGAGCTACTGAACTGCTACTGCACAGATTCTAGGGAAGCAGCAATGCCAACCAAGCTGTTTGAATTTCTGGCAAGCCTCCTTCAGTTGCAAACTATGGAGAACTCAAACCAAACTAACAAATGCAGACAATAGCATTTATTGATCCAGGAACAAAACACTGGGGGAAGAGTTCTGCAGGTCTAGCTCAATCCAGGGGCTCAAGTGACATCCTATGATGGATTCTCTCTCTACCTCTCTGCTCTACCAGCAGGTTTCTCTGCGTGGTGCCAGAATGTTTCTAGCTTTAGTCCAGTTGAAAGCCCCAAGCCTGAATCACAGTGGCCTAGCTTTGGTCACCTGTTCATCTGGAACCAGTCCCTGTAGCCAGAGGAATAGAATGTGCTGATTGGCCAGGTACCTAACCATCAATCTCATAAATGACCCACTGGCTTTATCTCCCTGAAACAAATTTCCCTTCCTTTATCCAACCCAGCCCAACTCTTCCCAGTCCAGCCCAATTTTGTCCTGCCCAGTCCTGCCTTGCTCAGCCAAGCAGGGAGTTCTATAGGGACAGAGATGTAGTGTGGTCAACCAAATATTGATCCTGGCACAATCAGCATTTAGTACACCTTTATGGAATGCATGCAGAATTGTCTGTACATGTGGGAAGATTTGCATGGGAAAAAATACCTGATATCTAACACTGGATAGATGAGATCATTATCAGTTCCTCTCAGTTCCTCTGAGGCTCTAAGAGTAGGAAGGACTGTAGAATCGGGGACAGGGGACAGTTGCAATAACACTGTGAGCAGCTATTGCAGCAATCTGATCTCATTTTGGTTGCAGTCGCAGGGTGGGGGGTGCAATTGATGTGGGAGGGAGCAAGAGGCTGATGGGGAGTGTAGTCTTCCAATTAGAAGAGAAAAGAAGGGGTCTTAATTCAGGACCAGTTAATGACCTTAAGGCTGACCTTGGGCCCACCCCTCCTCATCCTGTGATGGCATCCAATTTCAAGACACAGTCTAAGACCCAACCTTTTAATCAGCCTACATCCAGCTGATAAGCCTTGTAGGATCTGAACCCAATCCATAAAATCACTGATATTTAGCTGGGCATAGGCTGCCTGGAATTAAAAAAACCCTACATTTCCCAGCCTCCCTTGTAGCTAGGTGTGGGCTATAAGCAGAAGTGGTATGTACAACTTTGAGGAAAAGGGGGTGCCTTTATCCTTCTTATTGTTGGAACATAGATGTGATGGCTGAAACTCCATCAGCCACTTGGGGCCATGACATCAACTTGGGAATAAAGGCCTTGAATGGTGGAGCAAGAAGATAAAAGCAACCTGAGTCTCACATACTATGGAAGGCTGTGTCATCCTTGGACTAACCAGTGTTTTGATTGCCACCTATTTACCCTGTTGGTGAAGGAGGGTATCACATGCCCTACACAGTATAAGATGGCCAAACACGTGATATCTAACACTGGATAGATGAGATCGTTATCAGTTTATTATACTCACAGCTCAGAGGAGGAGGATACTACACACCATGTAAAGCCACACAGGGGTGGTGCACTCTGGAGCAGAGACAAGAAGCAGGGACTGTGGGAGGCAAACTTTGTAGTGACAAAAGGGTAGAGTGACCTCTGGTTCCCAAGGCAGGGTACTGAATGCATATCGCTTTCATACCATAATGAAGTTGAAAAATCATATGTTGAACTATCATAAGTCAGGGACCATCTGTATATATTTTATTGGTTCTGTTTCACATGTTTATTAGGCAGGCACGATCATCCTGCATAACAAATGACCCCAAAGGTCAGTGACTAACACTTGAGTTGGTCATCCACATGATACAATCCCAACAGATCAGCAGGGTTTCTGAGCCACATACTCACCCAGTTCGACAGAGGCTGAAGCAGCCTCCACAGTTGCTGGTGCAGTGGAAGACACAGAGGAGACTCCCAAGCCAGCTTTTTAGTGTTTCCAGCAGGAAGTACCACACAACCCTCTGCTGCCATTTTATTGGCCAGGTCATAGACACATGGTCCTGCCTGACCACAAGGGATAGAGAAGTGAGGAGATGGGGTTTGGGAGAAGCAAATAGAATATTTGGAGTATTACTCTCTGTAACACTCAAGGACTAGCAATTTAGTCTTCTGGAAAAACTTTTACACAGCCTCCA